CTGTTTTTCACTGGAAAACACTGGGCCTTTCATTTTGCACTATGACATTCCCTTGTCAACCCTTATAGGTTAAGTCATTTGCTTCAAAACAAGTGCGAAAACTGGATTTAGGATCAGTTGTGGGACTTGACAAGTTACTTAATTTTTCTGAGCACATTTCCTCATTTCAAGACAGGGATATAAATACCACTCATCTCACACCTTTCTTACGAAGATTTAAATGAACCGACGATGATAAAAATTGTTGATCTGTTTCCGAGCACTTAACTACATACCAGGCTGTTCGCTGTTCTACATGATTTTCATAAATCATCTCATCCCCACGACACCCTCCTAGATAAAACAACTAAAATCTCCATTGTGCAGACATGGAGAGTAAGAAATACATGATGAAGTAATTCGCCCAAAGACAGTTATTAAGATGTAATACATGTGGGGCGCCTGGGTGGCTCAGTCAGTTGAGCATCCGACTCCGGCTCAGGTCATGATCATGATCTCACGGTTCATGAGTTCAAGCCCCAGGTCAGGCTCTGTGCTGACAGCTCAGAGTCTGAAGCCTGCTTCAGATCCCACTCTCTCTTTGCCCCTCCCCCGTTTGCGCGCGCACGTGCTCGCTCTCTCTCTCTATCTCACAAAAAAACTAAAAAATTTTATATATAAAAAACATGTAATATACGTGAAGTGCCTTGCAAGTAAGTGACTAGTAAGAACTAAAAACAAAGTAGCTATTACTCCACTCTTTTGTGTCCATCAGTGTAAATTTTAAAAAGGGACCTTATACACACCCACCCACCTCTTTCGTTTTATGATCTGTGGGAAGGTTCCCTGTCAGTCTAATTAAACAATGCCTTGAGTACTAAGTGCAGAAATAACCCTTCCTTAAAGATCTGCCCCACCAAAGAACTCTGATTCACTGCCTATTTCCGGAGGTGAAATGATCGCAGACCGCTTTTGGCCCTTACATTGTTTGTGAAACTCCTCGATCATCATCTGCCGTAGGTGATGTCGTTTCTCTAATGCTTCAATCAGCCTGGGAAGAGTCTGCTCATCGTTGATATCCAAAAGTTCACAGGATGGCAAAGGTGGAAAACTCTGTAAAACTACTTCTGTAACCAGTGGTTCTGTGTTGAATTATAAAAAAAATTACAAGAAGTTACACAGGAGAGAAAGAGCTTATTTAAACAAGTTTAACACTGTGATTAGAACCCCCAACCCCCGGTTCAATTAACCATGCACTTAGAGTTGTCACAATCATACTTCCTTTAAAATGAATTACAAAAAAAGGAAGAGTGGGGGGGGAAAGTTACAGTATGTAACAAAAGAAATCTCATTTATACTCTGGTTCAGAAATTTTCCCCCCCCTTCGTTCTTGGGAGGAAGGGAAGTAAACTGTTGTCTCATGTAAAATACATCTGAAGAGAGACTGACAAACGTGCACATGATGTAACACCAAATCATACCGTCTCCGACTGGACCTCCCCGAGCCTGGTTTCTGTATCTCCTTCCAGGAGTTAAACCACAGATTGCCCTGTCTACTGGTCTTGCCACTTCAACCTCTTGGGTCACTTCTGCAAATCTCATGACTTGCTAAGATACAAGACAAATGGGAGGTTTTTAAATTTTTTTTTTTTAAATAAACATATCCAAGCCTTTCTTCAGAAATTACTTAATGAAATAATAGATTGGTCATTAGTTCCGTAACTAATGGTTCTGTATCAATTTTAAAAATATTTAGAATGTCATTCTTCACATCCAAATAGTTGTTTTCTCCATAGAAACTCTGAGACTTTATAGGATAAATACGTTAAAATTACCAAGCTTTCTTCATAATCTTCAGCCTTTGGATTCACACACACGATCATGCGTACTTTACCTTCCCCATCAAAGTAGTTCTTGAACAGATGGGTTAACTTTGAATCTCGGTATGGAACCATCTGTAAATAAATTCAAATCCAAATATATAAGGCCAAACAGTGCGTACAAACAAAGCTACAGAAATGATGAAAGGCTGTTGCTTACTTTGTTAGTTCCATACATTTGATTTTCTCTCAAGACTTCCATACATGTTCTTAGTGTCATTAATGACTGGTTAATGTTTCCTGACAGAAAAATAGAGACAGAAGACATTTGAAAACATTAAAGTAGCTAGAGTGTGGTCTGTTTGCCTATAAAATCCCTACTTCATAGAAATATATGGAGGGGTGCCTGGGTGGCTCAGTTGGCTGAGCATCCGAGTTCAGCTTAGGTCATGATCTCATGGTTTGGGGGTCGAGCCCATCATCCGGCTCTGTGCTGACAGAGCTCAGAGCCGGGAGCCTGCTTCAGATTCCCTGTCTCCCTCTCTCTGCGCCACCACCCCCCCCCCCCCCCCCCCCCCGCCAAAATAAACACGGGTGCGCATGGGTGGCTCAGTTGGTTGAGCATCAGACTTCGGCTCAGGTCATGATCTCGCAGTCCCTGAGTTCGAGCCCCACATCAGGCTCTGTGCTGACAGCTTAGAGCCTGGAGTCTGCTTCAGATTCTGTGTCTCCCTGTCTCTCTCTGCCCCTCCCCCGCTCTCACTCTCTCAAGAATAAACATTTTATAAAAAAATAAAAATAAAAAATCAACACTAAAAAAAACCCAGAAATACTATAGGAAATTACAAATAACAGGTTATAGTGGCTAATTTCAAGATCACTCCCATATGGCTTGGCAGGAACATTCTATAATAGCAGTGTTTCGGGAGAGGTTAAATCCCATCCAGCAAGAATTCTAGAGTAAAAGGAATGCAACGTTACACTTCCTGGCCCATAAAGTTTCTTCCAAATCTTAAATTCTGTGAGAGAGTGTATTAGATGCAGATGTTTAATATCCTCTATTAACATATTCTCTACAGCATGACAATTTCAGGCTGTAGTTGGCTCCATCAGCACTGAAGTGTCCCCTGCACCCGGAGGGCCTCGTGTTTCTAACAACCATGGGTCTTAGGGTCCAGCTAACTGCGTCCCTTCCACATCCAGACAAGGATTCCTTGGGCAGCATAATTGTTACTTCTGACCACTCTGTTTGGATTTCTGAGCCAAGGCAAGTCTGACAGATTAATTAAGCCTCCTATAATGCAGGAGATCCCATTTGCAGAGACTCCCCCTTCCCACATACGTAGCAATTTGTTCATTTTAGAACCTTGATTAAGGTCAGCTAACTCCCACCATGCTGTCATCCTTGGCCACCTCTCAAAACACAGAGCTCGTCTGTGCCTCCATAATGTCCCATGGTTCAGGATTCCTCTTCCTTGACCGCAACTCCCAGTGTCCTTCCTGCTTCCATTGTGTTCTCTGGAACCCAAATTCCTGTTACTAGACTTCCCCACCTCCTCACACCTCTCACAGAGGGCTCCATCCATCTCTCCCTAATTGCCAGGGGTTCTGAACCCAGGGTCCATGTTATCCATGGGCACATTTGGGGGAGTCTGCAAACCTGGATGGGAAATAAATTACACCTTTATTTTGTACTGACTTCTGAAATTTAGCAGTTCCTTTCAATTACGAGCATAGGCCAAAAAGTAGTATTAGTGATACCTGTGATTTTTATCAGTAGAAATCACAGGTAATTTTATAGCACATTACAGTTTATTGCTGATCTCAAGATATTTATGTTCATTACTGCTTTGAAATTATGTAGTTTTAAGACCTCCTGGTGGATCTTTAATTTAGGCATTAATAAGGAAGCATGTAAATTACTGTAATGACAAATGCTTTAAGAATACTGTTAAAAACACATTTTAATCTAATCGGTTTCCTTTGTGATCCTATGTATTTTATATTATTCATTCAGAAATCTTCTGTGAAGCGTCCATGGGCTTCACGCTGCAGCCACGGCGCAAAGCCCTGCAGCGCTTTAACTACAGAAGGGCAGTGCCGCTTCCCCCCGCAGCCTAAGTAAAAGTTGCTTGTTTTCTAAAGCCTGACATTTTATAAGGACGGTGAGCAGAGGGAGGCCAGCAAGATTTTTCCTAGTCCCTAGCTGCCATGCCTTCAGTGTTCCCCCTACACGCCCGGGTCATTTCTGACGAGCTGCCACAGGCCCCAACTCCCTCAGCACATTGTTCTCTCTTTAGCACGGGAGCCGCGCAGCTATGACGGACCCTGAAACCTTATCATTCAGAACCGCACCACCTCTTGAAACCTGGGCCCCAACCACCATCTCCCGTTCTTCTCATGCTCACGGCCTAATTTTAGTCACACCTGTTCCTCATCCTAGTAACTCTGGTAGTCCTTTCTGGCTTTTTCCCCAAAGCATCAGAACCCTCCAGTTTCTACTTTCTTCCGTTGAGACAAACCTCTTTTCCCATCAAGGTTAATCCTTTGTCATACCCTGGATCCCAGATTCTCTATCTACATATACATAATGTGGATTTTTTTGTCATCTCACCTGGCTACCACCTTCTCTCTCCTTCCAGGCTCTTTAAATCATTTACTTCAAGTGTTTGTTCCTCAAGGCTCTGCCCTCAGCCTGTTCCCTTCTGTCCTCCAAGAATAATCTCATCTCCCCTATTGCTTCCGTCATATTGGCAAAACCTAAAGCTGTAAACCTCCAGTCAGCTCTCCTTCCAAATGTGTGCACCTCTACATCCAGTTACTAGGCACTTCACCGGAATAAGCTACCCGTGTCCAACACAAACTCGAACCGCCCACACCTGCACCTCAGACTGCTTTCTCCTCAGTCAAGATCTTGGATCTGCCCTTGCCTCTCCCGGCCTCTCCACATCCAGGTGGCCTTCCTAACTGGCTCACTTTTGTCCAACCCTTGCCTCTAGGTCACATGATGGCTTGTGTGAATTACTGCAAAAGGCTCCCAACTGCTGTTCTTATCCCTAGACCTGCCTCGGTACATTAATTCTCTACATAGGAAAACAATCTTTCTAAAAGACTAATTCCTCATTGACTTTAAGGACCCTGTATAACAGCAGAAAGACACAAGCTTTGAGAATTCACCCGGGCTCCAGTGTTGGGAAAATTCATCTCTCCCAGCCCACTTCCTCATCTGAAAAATGGGTATGATACAGTCCTGAAAAGTCAGAATCAAGAAATCAAGCCCATGCATAGTAGATACTATGATACACACTAGTCCTTTAATAATAGGTAACCACCATTATTCCTTCAGGACAAAATTCAGACTTTTTAGTATGACAGACAAGGATCCTCGTGACCTCGCCTTGCTCTGCCACCCCAGTTGTCATAGGTCATCAGCCCACACCATTTCAGTGACCTTGACTCTGCCATTTCCCCCCCAAACTTGCCCTCACACACACACCCAGATTGGATGAGTGTTCAGATACCAGCACGCAGTAGGTACTCCATGAATGCTATTATGTGTAAAATGTAACATGAATAGCTACACTAATAAGAGACTAAAAACAACACCAACAACAAAACACAGATTCCCTTTCAATTTGTTTTTGTGTTCAAAGATTTTTCCCATCTCCAGAAGCCAATTTTCACCAGAATGAATGTTGGAATAACTGTTAAATCACTTAAGTTTAAGGGCCTAGTACTTACATTACTGGCAATAGATACAATATGAATGTAACTTGTTTTATATTCATTTTAATCACTTGTTCTTCGTTCATTTTTTTTTTTAAGATTATTTATTTACCTTGAGAGAGAGAGAGCAAGTGAGTGAACCAGGTGGGGAGGGGCAGAGAGGCACAGAAACCCAAGCAGGCTCCACACTGTCAGCACACAAACCGACGTGGGGCTCTATCTCACGAACCATAGGATCACAAGCTGAGCCGAGATCAAGAGTTGGATACTTGACCCACTGAGCCACCCCAGCGCCCCGCTTATCTTCATTCTTAAGTCAGTGTATGGTCATATATTGATACCAAACCAGCATAACTAAAGAAACAGCACTGACCCCTAACTTTAGCCTCTAAACTATCAAATTACCACCTATCAATAAGCAGATGACAGACTGACACTGCAAGTTCTGGAAAGTCGTAGCAATCACAGTAGTACTGTGCTCTGCTCACCAGCTTCCCGTAATCTGTTCCCTTCTGCCTTCGTCCGATTAGTTCTTTCACTTCCGGCAAGATCTACCAGGGACAACTGGCTTATCGTGATTTGTTCCTTTTCCTGAAAGGAAGATCATAACGCCAATAACACAAGGTATAACTGGTTTATGGTGTTCTTTAATTACATTCCTGTCAACAAATTATTAAGTCTTATGAATATAACATTTGCACAATACAAATGGTAGGGCCAAAGGATACATGTTCTGGGGGAAGAGTCCACTAAAAGCATCTGGGCTAAATGAATACACTGGTTGGTGAAGGGGACAAGGACTTGCCCATCGTCTGCTGTCTGCATTATACCATGAGCTTCACGAAAGCAGGGACTGCCTCTCAACCAGTGTTGTTCCCTCCGGCATCTCACCTAGCACCTAGCATGCAGCAGGAGCTCAGTCCGCATCTGCTAAGTCTAGAAAAGACCTGTCCTAATTTTTCTATAACCAGATATTTGACAATTTTATAATCAAACAATTTCATAATACTCTAATTGTAGAATAAGAAATGAAAAGAGGTACATAACTGATATTACTAGATGTGATTCAAAGGAAAGCAAGTGTATTTGAAGGCTTGACTTACAAGCATTTTCTAACTAACATTTACGAGTGCTGTCAGTCAGTTCTTAGGCACTGGCCTAAGAACTCTACATGCACTCCCTGCTCTAATCCTCACAACACTATAAAGAGTTTATAACCAGTCAGACAGCTAGTAAATTAACAGGAATCAAAATTCGAATCCTGGTGGTCTGCAATACCCTGCTGTAGTCATGCCATGAGGAGACCTTCTCAGTTTCAAATGGAATTACACTTTAATAGCTTAAAGTTATTAAATGATTTCTACTCAGGCCCAAATGCTTTTACTAATTGATGTAAGCCTTGTAGCATGACAGGCCCAGTAGTAACGAGTGATCAGCAGACAGGAGCCCTACTGGCCTATCAGCCAAGAGAAGAACAATTTAGAATTGTCATCTCCTGAACCGTACCTACCCTGGGAAGTTAACTGCTGACATTTCAAAACCATTAACTGAATTCCCACATACAAAATGAGTCTTCAGAGATAAAATAATGGTCCGTACCTACTTCTTACTTTATCTCCTCTATTAAAGAGATTTATAAAGATTTGTAAACCTTTTTCACAGCAGAATTCCAGGTTCTCAGATTCAATAGCCAGTTTCCCAGAACTACACTCTCTAGTGCAACAATTTTTAAACGTCATCACCTACTATAATAATTCTAGAGCAGTCTTCATTGCGGCGAAACTTCCCTGTTTTAACTCTAGTTCCAAAAACTAAAGCTTCAGTTAAAACAAGAAAAACTCCACACACTACACATTTACCTGTAAGACATTGTCTCCATCTGCATCCAAGGGAGCCTGCACTAATTTAATGTTGAACACGCTATGGGAACGGCTGGACTCACGATTCAAATGTGTGTTAGCAATACGTCTCTTTTTCTGGCCTGTGATGACAGAGACATCACTGATTAAACCTGAATTCGATCACTACAGTACTAAAAATTTAACTGCTGTTAAATTATAGTAGCAACTCTCAGGAGTATACTTATTGTTTCAGATTTTCTGAATGTTAGCGTGGTGTCTAACCTCTCCAGAAAACTTCAAAAGCCTCCTCAGTAGATTTCACTTCTACTTCTGTACATCCTGCAACATACATGTTATGGTTCTTATCTTCACGAAGCAATTTGGATTGTGGTGGTCTATGAGAAAGAAGAAAACATTAGTCTCCTAAATTATGGGATACTAATATCTCAGTTTAAGACTAGGACTAAAATGCCAGGCAACATGACATCGATTCTTACAAGGGAATAAGCCTAGGCAAGAGCTCCGAAAGACATTAAACTTGGGTAAGTGTAAGGATGTATAGTCAAGATTAGTTACATAACAGGAGAACAGGAACCTACACTGTTTTAGAAGCTTTGCTATAATTTGTTCTAATGAAGCACACAAAACACTTTCTAAACAAGTAGAGATCAAAATAGTAAGACGGCAACATCACATGCACAGGTTAAGCATCAGAATCTAGCTGGCATTTCCCTAATTGTAAAAGAGAGAGCCGGTCCCGACATCAGAGTCCGCAGAAGACAGATTCAGGAAGAGTTTGGTTTATACCAGGAGTGGCAGTCCTTTCAGAGTGGCTGCTCGAGTTCCAGTCTGTACGGTAGGATAAGGATAGGAAGGGCGCCACCTGCTCGGCCTGCCTCCTGCACGGTGGGGGCACAAGCGAGTGCCGGCCACCACTGCTCAGTGAATGGCAGGCTGCTGGGAAGCAGGGAGGGGCTTAGAGGCAGCAGGCAGCCCAGTGCCAAGGACACACCAGCTCCGTGCAGACTCGCCACAGATGCCAGCCGCTAGTACAACCACACCCTTCTCCTTAAGAAAAGAGTCAGCATGGTCACATACACAAACTCTGTGCTCCTCATGGGCGTGCTGCAGCTGTTCCACCTACCGAAGGAAGAGGGTGTGAGCTACGTGACAGTCACAGGATCGGCTCCTCAAAACCCTCCGCTTGTAATGTTTCTTCATCGTATGTAAAAACACTTAAAAGTTAACCAGCTTGGAAGAGCCGGCTGAGCACCACCCTCACAAATTAAATCCGAATTCAGGGCCAAATACGCACCCGGTGGGTTCATTCAAGGAGTTACCAGAATGGTTGTTACAAGGCGTGCAAGGCACATTTGTCAGCCTTCCTTTCGTAAAACTACATAAAACCAAGATAGGCTTCTTTGAAAATGATCGCATTTAGAACCCACCAAAAAAGAACCTTGGCACGTGAGCAAAAAGGCGAGGGATCGGTAGCAACGAATGTCTTCACAAAAGTTTAGGAAAATGGGTACACGTGACCGATACTCCGAAACAAATGGGAAAGCAAGTGATCTGTACATTGTGTGATGGAATTTATTAAATTCTTTCAGTCTGATGGTTTTCTAAAGATCCAGCTGTTTCTCCAATAATGTTCAATTAGACACACACACACACACACACACAAGTCTACATACTATTTATGTTCTGAGAGGCTCTAACAAAGACAGCATTGAAGATAAACATTTAGCTTGAGAACAAAACCATCAACTCAAGAGCAAGATACTAATGTTAAATGAGACTCCAGAGTCTGCTCTGGCACAGGCGTGGATTGGGATGCCAGGCTGGAGTTGTTCTTCAGTCTGAGCAGGCCAAGACCCAAGGAAATCTAAGGAGTTGTCTTTTAACTCTGGCAGAGTGATGCTACAGATCACTTCCTGTGTATGAATCAGTGATAGAAGACCTGTATCAGTTGTATAGACAATAGCTTTGGGCTCCTCCCTGTAGAGGTCACCGACCACAGATGGTTAATGTGGCTACAAACTCCCGACACTAAGTATTCGGTTCTTGAAAGGTAACCGCAGGTAACCCTCACCCTTAGGACACTTCCTCATGTGATCACGATCCTTCTCAAGATAATAGCCCCGAGGCCAAGAGTTTTCAAAAGTAATGTCTAAGGTGAGTATTCAGGTCTCTCTTCTCCTTAGACACCTTAACCCCCTGGTGCCCTGACACAGCTGCAGATCCGGTCAAGAATAAAACTATGCACCGAACACCAACCGTACGATACACAAGTTACCTTTCATTTTGAAAACAAAAGCACGATTACCATTTATCACTGAGGAAACTAAAGCTCACTGAGGTCGAGTGGCTTCCCCAAGGTTAAACAGCTAAGATGGGACTCTCTCCACTACTTACTTAGGCTTTATGGGATCAAACGGCACCTCTTCCAACAGATCATATATGTAATTGTTATATATTTCAATATACGAGACAAATACACCATAGACACTGTCTTCATCGACCTCTTCTGCTTTGCAAAATTCTTGTACGTTTATCATATCTGCAAACTCTGGGTCTACTTGTCGTCTGAAAAAAGAAAAGGGCCAAAAAATCTGCTTACTCATTGTGAGTCGGAATCAAAAGTAAAGATCCCAAGAGGAAACAGAGAGAGAACGTGAGCGGCCTGTCACCGCAAACAGCGGTGTGTAAAGCAGTCTGTCCATGCTCCCGGTCAGCCGACAGCACTGCCGTGTCCTCCCGCAGACACACGGCACCGGCTTTTATACCCTCTCCACCAAGAGCGGCACCTTCTCTAAACAGTAATTCAAGAACACTGTGCTCAAAACCAAAGAGGACATCTGAGCAAATAAACTTAATTAAGAACATTCCTCAACTTTGATCTCACTGCAGTCAACCGTCAGACCAACCACCCTTCACTTTCACCATCCCGCGTGCCTGAGGAAACCACCAGACAGGGTTCCCCTCAGACCAATGTCACATACAAATGTAATTACTTACTTGCCAGAGGGGGTCTTTGGATTGGGCATGGCTTCCCTTTTCTGCCGTTCTAACAAGGCGTCAACCTCACACTGTATATCCATGCTATTCCGGTCATTAGATTTAAAAACCTGAAGTGGAGGGTAAAATCAGACCATGATTTTTAGATTTGACTTAAGTAGTAAGAGACCTAGTTCAGAAATAAGAAACATTTACTATGTAAGGTTTCAGAATGTACCCAGTTTATTAGGAGTTCTCCCTTAACCCTATATCCACAGGTATCTCTGTCTCTATGCCCTCAGGTGAACTAGTCACAACACAAAAGAATTACACTTACATATCGTTTAGCTTGAAATGTGCCTATACTGTTAAAGATCATGTCCAAACAACGAGGAAGCAGACCTCCTTCCCCTGGAGAACCAGTCATTGTGTGAGTTTTTCCACTTCCTGTCACACCATATGTAAAAAGGAGACCTACAATGTAGCAAGTCACATCGAGTTATATATTAAGTCCTCCGCTCTTTTTCCTTCTTTCATAGCATTAAAAAACACGTAAAATTAACCAGCTCAAAAAAACAGGGTTTATACCACCCTTAATGTTTTATACCACATTTAACAAACGTGAGTTCAGGACCAACCATAATCAAATACGTAAGTATCAAAAGAGTTTTATGAGACAGACAGAAAGGAAAACGCAGTGAAAACTCCAGTACCCGTACCGTTTTTGCCATGAATGAGGTCATCTACCAAGGGATTAGCCACAACATCAAAGAGCTCCTTCTGGGTGGTATGAGTGCCAAATACTTGTTTAAATGAATACTGAGTCTGTGGAGAAGGGAGAAATAAAAAAGCATATGAATGGCATTTCACTCTAAGCTAGAAATACATCTGTTTTAATGTATTCAGATGTTGCTTTAAGGTGTAGACAGAAAGAAAAACCATGAAGTCTTTAAATTTGGAACCCTTAAAAAAGTCATGATGTACCTCAATTATACCACTTATAAATGATAAAGATTACAGTTATAACTACTGAAGAGAATGTAGAAGTCTTAAGCCCGCTAACACGTCACAGACCACTGCAGATTTTAGACGACAAAGAGCAAAAATGACCATGACTCAGTTACGAACTTGTGAAAAATCATCGGGCATTATTACTCCATACACTACTTTGCTCTTTTAAAATGACACAGCAGTCAGGGCGCCTGGGTGGCTCAATCGGTTAAGCGGCCAACTTCAGCTCAGGTCATGATCTCACCATTCACCGGTTCGAGCCCCACATCGGACTCTATGATGACAGCTTGGAGCCTGGAGCCTGCTTCAGATATTGTGTCTCTCTGCCCCTCCCCTGCTCACACACACTCTCTGTCTCTCTCTCAAAAATAAATTTAAAAACATTAAGAAAAAAATTTTTAAATGGCACAGCAGCATAAAACCAAGTGTCTTATTGTACTGTTTTAAAACCAGAAATGAACTATAAATTTAATTTCCTGAGTTCTTCTATAAAATTTTAAATAAATCGTGACCTTGAAAAAAATCACTTCAATTATCAAATCTCTATCAAAATAGGATTATTACAAAGTTATAATCATAGTACCAAAACTATTACCAAACTCCTACCTGGAAAATTAGGTTGGGGAATATAAGTATATTTTAATGTCAATTAAATTGTCCTAACTGGGCAGGGGCTGGAGTTCTATTATTTCCATTTTTGTTATTTTTTAGTTTTTTTGTATTACAGACCTTGCGGTTTTGTCTGTGACCTTCTTACAGGTTTTACTTCATGAACGTCAGTGCTAGGTTATTTGTTGTATAAGTATTTGCTGGAATTTATTACGGAGTATAACCTTTGTCAAGCGGGACCGCCTTTCCTGTTTCGTACCCTTTTCCTTAAATTCAGCCTGCACAGATATCACTATCACAACCCTTACGTTTTTTAAAGTAGCAGTTT